AAAGCAGTTTCTTAACGTATTTTGCTACAAAGCCTATTTCTCTAATGTGAATTAGTTCAAATGTTATTAGTAAATGGGGAAAGATGTCCGTGTAACATCAAAGTCCTGTTGGTTAATATGAGATTTTCCCCTGCAAGTTAATGTTTAAAAGGATCAAGAGTCGGCTTTCTCACAATGAACAAGATAGCCTGAGCAATACACGAAGACCTTAAGAAAAAAGCTGAACATCCTACTTCTATACCTTCCTTTAATGCAAGTAGTGGTTGGTTCACGTGCTTCATGAACCACTAAGCTTTCCACTTTACATCTGGTGAGGTTGAGGGCATATGTTTCCCCTCCTGTATTTAAAGAAGTTTTCGATGGGGCCTCTGGGTGGCTCAGATGGTTAAGCGTCTGCCTTCAGCTCAGGTCATGGTCCCAGGGCCCTGGGATCAAGCCCCGCATCGGGCTCCCTGCTCGGTGGGGAGCCTGCTTCTCCTTCTGCCTGCCGCTCCCCCTGCTTGTGCTCTCTCTCTGTCAAATAAATAAATAAATAAATCTTTAAAAAAAAGTTTTTGATCACCAAAGCCTACACATCTCATACGTCAAATTTTTAATTATAATGAAATTGGTCCCTATTGTAAGCGAATGTCTTCAAGACCCCAATCTCAGAGGAGGAAACCACCACCCAGGGGATTAAGCCTGGAAAGGTTCAACTGACTGATGCTGGGTGCATATGCCAATGGAGATTTAGTATATTTATAATATATATTTAATATATTTATTTATTGTAATACATTTATTATAATTATTGTTGTTTTTACTAGTGTACTGGTTACAATGTTTCACAGATTTTGAGTGCCCTGCCCCAATCTGATTTTTTCCATAAGCCCCATTTATTTTAATGTATGACTTTGCAGAATCCAGGAAGGCCTAAATGGCATTATAGCAGGAATACCTTGTACTCAAAATCAAGTCAAGGAAGAAGTATGGGCCCATTAAGACAGACAGCTATGTAGCAAATTTAAGTATGATTAGGAAAGAACTGTGGCTGGGGCTAAGGCCCATGGAGCTGACTGGAAACTAATAAATAAAAAGCCAATTAAATTTTCGAGAGTTATACTGCCAAAAGAACCTCCAGACTGGGTTAAAAGAGATGGTGACTGTTCAAGACTTAAAGTGGTCTCTGGGTTCTCAAGCATCTATGGCAGGAAGTAGTTAGATTAGAAAGCTGTCCATTCCCCTAAGGGGGAATATTCTTCATTGTCCATTTCACATACAACCAAAGAAGATAACAGCAAAAGAAGAAAAGGGGAAAGCAAGCAACAAAAGGAGGAAAGAAAACAGACAAGTGAGCTACTCCTAACAAGCCAAATTAGGGTCTATTCGAGAACATTCCCCAACCCTGAGGAGGCCCTCTCAATGACTGCTCAGAGTTCAGAATTTGCTACAAATCTCCTATTCTTCCCCCTTTCAAATGGGAGTATTTTTATTTGTTGCTGATAGTCCTGACTGCATTTTGTATGTTGGGGCAGTGATCATGTGTCCGTTTCTTTCAGAAGTCTCTGGACCGAGAAAAGCAACCTCTGGATCCAACATGGAGACTACCGTGCATCATCTCCTCACCGATGGACCACCAGTCATCATACCCTTGCGTCACTCAAGAGATCCTGGACTTTGATGCCATGACTGGAGAGGACCTTGGGGTTCCCTACCTTGCGGAGGGAGGGAGTATATTTTGCCTATGACCAGAAGGATGGCGCTGTTTATCAAGTGTTTTCGAATGTCTCTCCAGCGAAGGCAAGCCGAACTGGCCGTCCCCGCTGTCGTCGTGCAGGACTACCTGACTAGTTCTGGCCATCATGTTGTGAAATAAGAGACGTGCATCACTGCAGAGCTATTGCATTTCATTGCTAACGAGAGACCCTCCAGGCCTCTTTCTCGTCTCCGGCATGGTGACCAGTAATGTACAAGAAGACGGTTGTTCCATCAACCTGCATCACTGAGTGACAGGAACAGAGCTTCCCTGCTGATTGATCATGGCCATGCAGGGAGAAAGAAAGCCTTCACTGATTTAAGCCACTGAGACTGGGGAGTGATTTGTTACAGCAGCATCACCTAGCTAATGTAGTTCTCTATGAATATGTACATGTATCAGCTATCTCAGTCCTCAGCTAGACAGCACAGAAAAAATTACTAAGTGAAAAGGGCTGCATTCACAGGGGAAGTTAGAAAATAAGACTCTTCTTTCTTTTAAAAAAATTACAGTTAGAGCGCTTTATTCTATTTTAAATGACGCACACATATATGCATTCCCATATAAACCTGAGACTGGTATCTCCCCATTATTACAATAAGGGAAACTCACAAAAACATCAATAAACCACACGGTCACAACAGAAGATGTAGTCTGTTCACTCTGAAACACACATAGGCTTTCTGCCCACATATTACTTTCTTCATTCGATTTTGGCACCTTTTCCCTTATCTCAGTTTTGACAATCATCTTCCTTTATTCTCCTTCCAGAAGATTTAAACTATCTCCTAAGAGCACAATTGAGTAACCTTTACAAAACCAAAAGCACGTTAGGGAAATTAGAACATTCCATGTTTCATTATCCAACTCTTAAGGTGTATCCTCAGTTCTAACTTACTTATTACAAATCATCTTAACTTCATTTTTTAGAATACTCCCGAGGTGAATACACGGAGCTCTAAGAACCTGAAAGCAGACAGAAGCAGCAAATAAGAAATAACCCTCATTGATATTTAAAGCTGTTTAAATTCATCTCTCTTTGGTATTAGAACAAGTTCTTAGAGATCATTTTCTCCTGCTTCTTAAAATAAATTCCAAACTAAAGTGGGTCATTCCTTAGTGTCTTGCTATAATTAACATTACACAACTTAGGAAAAAATGTGATATGTTTGTTAAAGGATATACAAATTGAGAAGCAACCAGTCCTGGCACTCTACGTGCTTGACCAGCTACTGGGAAGAAAATACAATCTTAAGAAAAAAATTAGGGGCGCCTGGGTGTCTCAGTTGGTTAAGCTTCTGACTTCAGCTCAGGTCATGATCCCAGGGTCCTGGGGTTGAGCACGGCATCGGGCTCCTTGCTGAGCAGGGAGTCTGCTTCTCCCTCCCTCTCCCTCTGCCCCTCCCTCTGCTCATGCTCTCTCTCTCTCTCAAATAATCTATGAGTTCATAACGATAAAAAATTTAAAAATAGGGACGCCTGGGTGGCTCAGTAGGTTAAGCATCTGCCTTCAGCTCAGGTCATGATCCCAGGGTCCTGGGATCGAGCCCTGCGTCAGGCTCCCTGCTCAGCAGGGAGTCTGCTTCTCCCTCTGCCTGCCGCTCCCCCTGCTTGTGCTCTTTCTCTCTCTGACAAATAAACAAAATCTTTTAAAAAAATTAAAAATTAAAAAATTAAAAAGTGATTTTACTTTCATTTCAGTGGAATTTCAGAAAGCCCTGGTGATAAATGCCGCCATGTTTTACTTGACATCTGTAAATGTATTTGTACTTGTTT